GCAGACAAAATAATAACAAACTCGAGAGACGGCTTAGCTGACCGCAGGGCAGAATCGCTGTATAGTTGAAATCTCCAAACAATGTTGTCCATTTTAGACATAGGCTTATTATATTTACAGCCCTTAATAACATTCATTTTCTGGGCTCAATATGTGTCTTGGCTGTTTTCGTTGTGAAAACAAATGGACCGTAGATACACGGATTGACCGTCCTCATCTGCGCTCTTATTTTGAAAGACAACTTCCGGTAACAAAATGTGAAAAATGGGGGGTTTTTTTGTTTCTGTTTTCTAGTGATTTTATTTTTTGTTTTGAGAAGTAGAAAATGAAAATCATCCCGTTTTTTTAGTTTAGTAAATCCATTTTTGACCATTATAAAGAAAAATGCCTTGTATTTCAATTTTGGTTTTTCAATTTGAAAACGAAGTCAAATATCTACTCGTTTTTTGTTTTTGAATAATCCATTTGTGAAAAGAAAATCCAATGACCAAAACATACACCGACCCTCCAGCCGTCCATCTTAATTCCACTATGAAACCCACTCATTTCCTCAAGTACTGTACTTAAATACAATTTTGAAGTACTTCTACTTTACTTGAGTATTTCCATTATATGCTACTTTATATTTCTTTAAAAAAAAGTCCATCAGAACTGTGTTTGTATACAACAGTAAGCTTGATGCAACAATCTTATCTAGAAATGTCACATACATTGTTCATACAGAATAAATATAAATATATACACACATGAAGGCACTTTCTCTGCACAATGATTACTTTTGTATACATTAAGTATACATTTTGCTGATAAAACCTTTATACTTTTTCTTAAGTAAGCTTTTGAGTGCAGACTTTTACTTGTAATGAAGTATTTTGACAATAATCAATCAATCTCAGTTTATTTATTTATCCCAATATCACAAGTTTTACATTTGTCTCAGGGTACTTTATAGTTTGTACAGAATATGAATATGACACCCTCTGTCCTTGGACCCTCAAATGGGACAAGGAAAAACTCCCAGAGAAACCCCCCAGCTAATGGGGGAGATGGAAGAAACCTTGGAGAGCAACAGAGGAGGGTCCAGGACGGACGGCGTGCAATAGATGTTGTGTGTACATTTAAAAGTTAATACATTTTCAACATAGAGAGTCCAAATGCTTGAAAAATGAATGTGTCTGTATATTAGAAGAACATGAAGATGGATCCAGGTGAATGTTAACTTAATAATGTATTTGTACTTTTACTCAAGGAAAGCATCTGAATACTTCTTCCACCACTGTTGGTGTGTGTTAACCAAAGATAGAGGACCCCGAATGTTGTGGAGGTATGTTTCCCCTCCTTCTCAGATAAGTGTATTCATGGTTTAAGCCTCGATGATCCCTCCCTCTTTCCCCAACTCTCAGATGTGAGACAGACGGAGGGGTCTGACCGCTGGCCAAGGTTAACAGCCTTAAACTGTGTTTGAGCTCGGCATCACACGCCCACCGCCGCAGAGATCAAACGCTGCTCCTCTCCCGGCTACAAAACTGTCTCTGCTCTTCCTCTGCCGTCTGCACTGAACCGTACGACCCGTTGCCAGCAGGACACTCCCAGTTAAACCAGTAGGAACCTTCACACACTCATCGTACAATTCAGTGCTGACTATTGCAGCAAGGTGATTGGTAGATGCATGTTTAAATCATCTGTTTAAGTGTCAAGTCTTTAAATCAGAATCAAAGTGTGTCAGTTGTTCCATTTTAGAAATAAATAAAATAAAAAGACCAAAATATATATATTTATATGAATGACAAAAGTAAGAATGTGCAACAAGATTGAAAAAAGTACGAAATTTAAAAAATGTAAGAATTTCAAGTAAACATTTCCAATAAAAGATTTGTGTAATATTTATAGAAATGTGAGAAGTAAGAATGTGCAATAAAAATAAATAAAATATTGCATAAACATATATACGAATTTAAAGCAAGAAATCCACAATAAAAGATAAAAGAAAAATTAGAAAAAATCTAAATATTATATGTTTATACTGCCTTAAACTGTACGTAATATAAGTAAAGTCAGATGTATATATTTATACTATACTGTATTTAAGATCACTCTGCACTTTATTACTGATTTGCACTTCTGGTTGGATGTAAATTACATTTGGTTATCTTAGTACTTGTACTCTGTGCAATGACAATAAAGTTTCATCATCATCATCATGATCATCATCATCATCGATTCAGAAATAAATTATGTACTTTTCCTCCACTACATGTATTTAATATTTTAGTAACTTTACATATGTGGATGCATGTTGTGAAATATAATCAAGTGTTAAATCAGACTTTAGTTCCACCTGGAGTAAATTCACAAGCTACCCTGCAGTATACAAAGTCATTCAAACTAGCTGCACCTTTACCAGCTTTGAGAACACTTTCATGATCAATCATTATAAAACATATCATATCTATTATTCTGAAATGGACCAATCTTCACAATGACTACTTTTACTGTCGCTACTTTCACTATATTTTGATGATAATACTTTTCTACTTTTACTTGAGTAACATTTTGAATGCAGGACTTTTACTGTAACAGAGTATTCCTACACTCTGGGACTATTACTTTTCCTCCCCACCCTCCGCGTGTAAGTACGATTTCATCGATAGAAAAACAGTTATCTCATGGTTGTAAAGCAGAATCAGTAACATTGATCCCTCTCGAATGACATTACATCAGCATCCCTCTACATGGCCATGTTTGCTACAGGAGCATACCACAGAGTCCAGGACACAGACCCATCAGCAGATCATGAGCACCACTCTCGTGCAGAACGTGCGATGGTATGTGTGTTTTGTACTGTTGCAACCCATTAGATAAGCAGCAAAGAGCGAAAGTGCTTTCACTGTGATGCTAGCTGTGTGACCTAACATCCACAATGAAAATGGAAATAGGAAAAGTGATGTGACAGAAGTTTCATCATCATTACTGGATGTATTTCACTCTAACTCACCTCCTTATAATAGTTTCAGCTATTCCTCTGTCGTTGTTCTTGTGTTGTTGCTATGTTATGACATTTCTTGAATTTCCTCTTTCCTTCTGTGAACTCCTATTTGTCTTTGCTCCAGCCTTTTGGCTGGCTGCTCAGAGCCACCTGAACTGACCTAGTAGGGAAAGGTTATCTTTTCATATTTTTTCGATTCATGTCATGTAATGTCTGTGTTTTGTCAAAAGGAGTAATAGAATCCAGAAAATATGGCTTAATAAGAAGCTAGAGTATTTGAGAGCTTCTTTTGTGACTCAAATCAAAACCAAAGTAAAGCGCTTTTTTGAGGCAATTCATTTTAAGAGTAACTATCAACTAATCGATTTATCTTTGCAGCTCTAAAACCAAACGCAGCTATTTTTTCGCTAACAGGGCCCCCAAATTGACAATTGTTCCAGAGCAACATGCTTTTTTAGCTGATTCAATTGGCAGAGCTAAGCGACTGAAGCCGTGGATGGAAAACCCATCGAAGTCATGCAAAGCATTCGTCCTGTGATCAGAGCCTCTCTTGTCCTGACAAGCTGATTAGCAATTTGTGTTTGTTGTGTGAGCTTTATCCATAGCCTCAGGGAAAGGTATTCCTCTCCCTCCACTGCCTAACCAATCAGGGGACGCCCACACATTCTCAGGTAGCACACACACACACAGCACACAAACCCACACACAGCCCACACACACACACACACAACACACACCCACACACCACACCCACAGCACACCACACACACACACACACACACACAGCACACACCAGAACACACACAGCACACAGAAAGCACTCCTGCACTGTTATATGGGTGTGGGTCTTCTGGGCAGTGCAAGCAAGAAGCAACGAAGGAGCGCATAGTGACAGCCAGTGTAAAATATGAACTCTGAGCCTGTTTGATAACATGATATTAATATAGTCTAATGATGAATAGGCCTGGGCAAAAACGTTTGAGAGATTGCGGAAGGAGTCCTTATCTCTGTATTTTTTAAAACATGGCCTTCATGAAGTGGCACAGCTGACCGCAGATCACTCAGATATTTCAGTTCAGATCATTGTATTCATAATGAGAACAGGAACGCACTTGCTTCCTCTTGATTGCCGAGAACATAAACTGCCTCGCGGCCGGTGTACCAACGTGATGCCTTGCTCTTGATTGCCCCAGGATAATGTAAAGCGGCTAAAATAGTCAGCAGTTGTACTGAAAGCAGGGTAAATTCAAAAGTGATACCCCCCCTCCTTTTTTGTTGTGTAACTGGCTTCACTTTGTTAATTTCCTGTCATAAGAAACACGGTTTAGCAGGAGAAAATCTAACCGAGGTACATCAAGGTTTGCAGTATGTTTCAACAGGGGGCCCTCTGGGCCCATGCCATGTTGAAGACTGATGCTTTATATGTTCAAAATAAACCTTAAAATAGAACCACGTATAATATCCAAGAAAAACATTATTTTTCACCCCCTTGGAAATTGGTTGACATAATTGGAGCCGCTTTGTACTATTCAGCTCAGATTTGACCTAGAAATTATTAGGAATGAACGTAACATGAATATTGCTGAATGAACATTTCAGCAGCAGCTCTTCTTCAGCCAGGCCCCTTGGTATCGTGACTCGGCCCTGGGCACATATCACAGTGTAATTGTTTTTTATGCACGGCAGAAGCTTAAAACGCATTGATTCGATGCTTGCATGTGTCTTTTCATTAATTGTATGGTATTTTTTGCATTTTTATTGTTTTACTTTTGTGTCATATACCCTCATCTATGTTATCAATTTGAAAAAAAATTTTTTAAAAAAGGTTGCTATATAATTCGAAAGTTCATAGAAGTAAGATTCATACCTA